GGCCTCAGAGAAAGATCCTGTCTCAAAAAAATGCAGAAAGCAGTTGAGAAAGACATGTGATATAAAACTCGGGCCTACACAATCACACACACACACACACACACACACACACACACACACACACACACCACGGAATCTGGTTCAAAGCTAGATGATGCATATCTAATCCCAGCACTAGGGGGGTTCAAATTCAAGGTCAGCCTGGACTACATAGGAAATGCTGTCTCAAAATCTGGTAAGTCTGGGTGAGTTACATCCACTCCTAATCCTTCTAGTGCATAAACGACCCCCAAGCTGGGTTGGTTATCATTTGACATTAGCTGCTCCACCTTTCCCCCTCTTTTAGAAACGCCTACAAAGTCTGAGTAGACATGAAACATGAACAGCAAGTGCCACTCACATTAACACTAATCTGACAAGCATTCAGGATTTCAGGGTTGTTCTTGTGCGTTCAGATGGAGGCCTGGTGAGTTAGTTGCAGGTGTACATCAATAAGGTGGCTGGCAGGCAGTTAGTGTTGTGGAGGTCTGGCTTTCATACTTAGCCTTGGCCCCATGAGTGCTCCTGTGAGTGCTCCCATGAGGGCTGGGTGCAGCCTCATGGGCTGCTAAGGTAGGACCACTTCCATATGAGGCTCTGAGAGGAATCGGAATAATGGGCATTCAAGAGAAAGGAAAGCAGGGTGCGGCACAGGGAGGAGGTAGTAAGCTGGGTGATGTAGTGTTTTCGGGGGTGGAGGGGGGGCGTGTTTAGCAAATGCTCATGAGGAATGACCAAGAAGGGACCAGGAAACATGACCAAGACAAAGTCCATCTTCCAGGTATTTCCTTCCATTTTAAGAGCTATGCCAGATCCTCCTGTTCTTTTTCCATGTTGGTCACCCCACCAACACTAAGAGATTCTTCCCTCGAATCCCTTCATCTGGCTTCATCTGAATCAGCTGGACCTGCCCCAGGGGTTGCTGTGGTGAACTCAGTGGCGGCAGGTCCAGGGGCCCCAGGAAGAAAATTCTGCTATGCTAGATAGCTTTAGTTGTCAACTTGACACCCCTGGGTAGAGGGGACCTTAGTTGAGGAATTGCTTCCATTGGATTGTCCTGTGGCCATGTCTGTGGGACATTTTCTTGATTGTTGAGGGATGTGAGAGGGCCAAGCCCACTATGGGCAGTGCCACCCCAGGGCAGGTGGTCTTGCATTGTATAAGAAGCAGGCTGAGCACAGGCCAGGGGAGCAAGCCAGTGAGCAGCATTCCTCCATGGTCTGTGCTCCAGGTTCCTGCCCTGAGGTTCCCTTGATGATGGACTGTGCATATAAGCCAAATAAACCCTTTCCTCCCCAAGTTGGTTTTGGTTAGTGTTTTTTGTTTTATTTATTTTTATTTGATGTATATGAGTGTATTGCCTTCATATATGTAAGTCCCCGTGTCATGCAGTGCTCTCAGAGGACAGAAGAGGGCGTTGGATCCCCTGGAACTGGAGTTACAGAAGGTTGTTAGCTGCCAAGTGGGCGCTGGAATTCAAACCTGGGTCTTCTGTAAGAACGGCTAGTGCTCTTGACTGCTGAGCCATTTCTCCAGCCCCTGGTCAGTGTTTTTATCACAGCCATTGAAGGTAAACTAAGACACCTGCTTGTTCATGGTTGCACATGAACACAGCTACCACCTCTCAGTAGGTCCAAAGATAGGAGGTTGGCTCCTGAGAGGAAGCAAGAAGACACTCCAAGAAGTACTGGTGGTCTTCTTCTGGGCTGGAGAAGTGTACAAGGAAGGGAGGGCACCCGCCTTCTGTCACTGTGTAAACAGAGCATGGGCAGGACAGACAAACGGCACCAAGAGCTTCCAAAGGGAGCGGTTGGCATTCACAGGGCTTTGTTCTCGCCAGATCCTCAGTGGCTCATTGCTGGGCTTTGGGACTTCAGGTAGCTGGTCTTCTTGGTGATGGTGGTATATGAGTGTATGTGTGTGCATGCGTGTGTGCGTGTGTGTATATTTAATGAGTTCCTTGTGCTGTGGAAGGCAGCTGTTCCTAGCAGCTCTGAGCCCCAGTGCTCTAAGCTAGAACTAATGGAGCAAAGAGAAAGTACTGCCTGGCTCTCTACCCTTCTGCCAGGGTCTCAGCACCCTTTTTGGCATCTCCATAGCTTTTTCTGTACACCAACCCACACCCTTATGGGTCTTCTTTGGGTTTCTGGACTGTGTGAACTGGTCCCAACAAGCCTGTCCACCTGCAGCCCATGTTATCAGAACCTTAGATTCTGTATAGGAAACATTCTTGCCTGTCCCTCCTGTTCTGTACAGGCCTGTCCTGCACTCTCCATGCCCCTAAGGACAGGGATGAGGCAGCCCTGGCACCTAGCTACAGTGCTGCTGAGGCTAGGGAGGAGCCATGATGGAGGCAGGACTACTGGGTCCTGGGAGTAGTCTGTCTACCCACCCTGAGCTGGAGGCGAGCAGGGAGGCAGAACCTTGGTGAGGGAGGGAGGCAAGAGGTTAGGAAAGCAGGGCAAGGGGGCCGTGGGACTCAAAGCAACACTCAATAGAATGCTGCAGCGAGGAGAGGGACCAGGTCTGCAGAGGGGACTATGGGAAGTCAGAGTTAAGTTCCTGCAGGGTGACCTCTGGGTAGGAGGAAGAGAATACACTTGGATCTGAGAGAATCAGTGTGTGTACTGGGCCAGGAAGACTGTGGGGAAGGAGGAAAGGGCACAGCTGGGCAGAGGGTTGTCTTTCGAGTACCCTAAGCCAGGGAGTAAGAGGTGAGGAGATGGTCTGGGTGATCCCAGCTGAAGGAAGGATGGACTGTACCGGGTGGGGAGGACACAGTGGGAGGAGAGCCCCTCACACCCCACAGCTGGACCAGACATTTATCATCATTCCCCAAGGCCTGGGTCGCTGTGGTTAAGGGACTTGCCAAACCCACAAACAGTAGAGGGTCTGAGCTGGTATCTCACCCAGTTCCATGGACTGTCACACACCCAGCGTATACAGAGGGTGGCAGTGCTGAGGTGGGGGTGGGGGTCAGACACCACAAGGACGCATATTGGACAGGAGAATGTGCAGCCTAGGAAGGGGCTCATGAGACTGAGAATCGTGTTAAAAAGCCACACTGAATCAGCACAAGGACAGATGGGGTGGAGACCAGAGCCTTAGCTGGCACTGAAGTCAGAGTAACTTTTGATTATTTGCTTCTCTGTCTGCCTGGACCACTCCTCAAAACTACCTTATTCTTGTGCAACCATTTGTCTACACAGAGCCTACCGACGCTGAAGGGCAGGAGACAGATACTATGTTCGTCTGAAGAAAGGAACCACCTGGGATTTGGCCAGCACATGCAATGACCAAGCCTGCCCAGGATCCCCAGCCTCATCTCGCTGCCTTCAAGAGCAGCCGGCTCCCCAACGGCTCTGGAACGGCGCTAGGCTCCTCCTGCAGTTTCCACCCTGGTCCCTAGGTGGCACCAAAGCCCCGTACGGATCCCTGCGGGTGGGGAGCCGCCCACACCTGCAGACAGTGCCGGGTCCCAGTCCTGGCTGCCAGCTCAGCTGGGGCACTCTGCTGTCTGGGTTCAGTCTCCTCTGGTACAAAGCAGCCGCAGCTTTCCTGGTGGGGTGGCAAACTTGTCATTACAACCTCTTTTCTAGCTTGGATTTTGCTTCCATCTTCCCTGGCCTCCTATGAGTTGAGTTGACCAGCCCTGGCCCCCGATGTCTCTGCCTCAGGAACTGTCCAAAATAAGTACTACGGTTGCTCTTTTAATTTTCTTGACATGTCAATGAAAACTAATACAATAGCATTAAACTCATTTTAAACTCCTTTTTAGTGAGAAAAACAATATATGCACAAAATCCCAGACAACGGGCTCCTGTTGAAACCTTCAGTCTTTGCACAATAGCTCATCTCATGCCCAACCCCACCCGCACAGGCAGACCAGCACCAGAGCGCTCGGTCTGCAAACTGTTTTCAGCTGTGGCTAGTTAGCAAGACCTCAGGATCTCTGAGGGGTACTTATTGGAAGCAGCTGCTGGAGGCTCCCTGGACAGGGAGGAATTAGATGCCCAGAGAACCCAGCAGGCTGTCAAAGGGTCCACAGCTCTAGGAAAGACGGGATCCGTCAGGATGGGGGAGATAGGGAGGTATAGGTCAGTGGTCAAAAAGGATCGCTCTTAGGAAGTGATACAGGGCAGAGCTCAAAGACAAGTTTGGGCAGATTTGGTAGGAGAGGACATTAACCCCCGTTTGTGGAGCATCCTCTCCACCCACAAGTCCAAGAGCACTGTGCTACCCAGCCCAGCCCTGTCCAGGCTGCGGAGAGCACTGCTCCTGTGAGTGTGTGGATGAGAGAGAGCGCTGGAGCCCGTGTGAGTGTGTGGACCAGTACATGTGTGTGGATGAGAGAGGAGAGAGAGAGCTGGTGTGAGTGTGGACAAGTACGTGTGTGGATGAGTGAGAAGAGAGAATATGCGTGTGTGGATGAAAGAGAGAAGAGAGAGAGAGCACTTGTGTGTGTGGACAGTACGTGTGTGGATAGGAGGGAGGGAGAGGGGGAAAGGGGGAGGGG